ACTTACTTAGGCCCTGTTTGGGAGGAATTAAATTTTTCTACAGTAAATCAATTCTCATTTTCAACCACACATTCTTCAATAAAATAATATTTTCCATCACATCAATAATTTTTTCTTTTTTTTCAACCACACATTTCCCATTATATCACTATTCAAAATCAATTCTTTTCTCAAAAATCTCTCCCAAACAAGCTCTAAATTACACCAAGAAGGCTGTTTTCTTCAAAGAGGACAAATGGACCAAATATTCCTTAACTTCGGTATTAATTGACAAATTGGACTAGTCTAATCTCTATCAAATACAATGAAACAAGTATATTACTATGAATATCAATGATTGCACATGCCTCAACATTCCTTTATCTGTGCTCATGTTAGAGCCCCATTTTTCAAAATAGATTTTATAAAAGTGATTTTCTTGGTAATAAAAAGTAATACATATAATAAATCTTCAACATCCAAGAAAACAGCCAAATAAAACGCGTCCCCGTGCTAGCCCCACATCTAGGGCGATTTCACGGAAAATTATAACCGATATCCTTTTTAGTCATTCAAGTGAGAAAAAGAGAGACTACACGGAATTGGTGGTTGGCCACTTAGCCTTGTGTTAAAATTATAGAAAAGTGCATCTGTATATGTTTACATGCAGACGAAGTGTCAAAAGAGATTGAAGAAGTTTTTCAGATTCAATCATATGTCACCACATCATATGTATGCAAATTATTATCTAAACCTATTATGTACATATAGCACAGTCGATATGTATGTAATCTCTCTCTATCACTCTCAAAGTGCGCAATGTATTCGGTTAAAATATGATGTTAGCCATGTGTAGTAGGAATCCAAACACTGGCAAATTTCATCTCTTTCCATGAACTAGTATATGTTTAAAATAATACTGAGAAAGGTATTCTCCATGTGCTTAACTTTATTATTTACCCTATCACTCTCTATATAAACTTAGTATATATTTAATATTCGCTACAGACTCATTGCACACATACTGCGTTAACGTTGCTGCTGATGGACTTCCAAGAACTGTTTGTGGGTCGACAGACAGCAAGATACCAGAGGCTAACTAGCGCTGATGAGAAGGCAGCAAGGCCTAAAAACTACTGGATGAAGAAAATAAATGGAAGAGTCAAAGGTTTCAGGTTATCAAAGTCTAAAAAGTTGAATTGGAAGGCAGTTTCAGTGATTTTAATACCAAAAAAGATTGCTAGGATGTACTTCTTTGAAATTGTTAAACGAATGAAGTTGGATGAAGTATGCCCTGCAATTATCTTCTCGTGTCAATGGGGACTTCCTGTTCTTTCTCATTCGTCTGTTAACTGTCAAAAGAAATCGAGGAACTTGACATGGCTTTAATTAGTGTTACAGATAATATGTCTATTCTGATTCTCGTTAAATTTATATGCTTATTTAGTTTGAAATTACAATGTTTGAGGAGATAAAGCAAACACACAATCCATGGAATGCTTTGTACACTGCAAATTGTGGGGAAATATTTTGCCTTGTAAAATCACCTTATAGTCGGAACATCGTTTACAAGAAAAAAAAAGGCCTTTTGCAACATATAAAATACAATATTCATTAACTGCGTGTTGCTAAAAGGGTCTATCACAACCGTTTGCAAATGTAAATTACAATTAATTGTTGCCAATGTTTCCTTTAACAAATTTCATTGCATGTTACAAAAAGTTTACATATTTAGCATTTTTTTGTAACGTTCATCGGATGTTTATAAAACTTCCTTCTTTAGCAACTTTCATTGCCAGTTATTAAAGTTTAGCTTTGACAACGGGGTAACGACCATTGCTGAAATTGTCAATATATGGCGTGTTTTGTAACGTTCATTACGCGTGATTAAAACCTGTCTTTAGCAAAGTTCATTCTGTTCTTAAAGCTAGCTTTAAATTGAAATGGTTTAGAAAACTGAATCAAGTCTTGTGTTTTGTATGAATGCAAGTTGTTACGCCTCACAGTCAAAGCTCAAGTCAAAGTGCCACTTAACAATCTATGTAGGCAGAAAAGTCAACAAAGACCTAATTGGGTTTTGACTAACGAAATCATGTGAATGGCCGAAGTCCTTACTTCGAAGCACCGCCTAAACGAGAAATAAGCTGAAGCTCTTCACTCAGAGAGCCAATATAAGCTTCCTCCAGTCGAGGCCCCTCAATTCACCTGGAGCTCATGATGCTAAAGCGCCTCATACAAGATCTTTAGGCAATCTTTAGAAGTGATTGATGTGAAGCCTTAGTCCAAGAGATGAGACCACATGGCTCTGATCCAACGGATACCACGTCGGTCGAAGTACTATAAATAGAACCACTTTGTAACTGAGAAGGGGTTGTATTTTTAGACTTTAGGCTCTTAAACTCTTGATAAAACAAGTCATCTTGTAAACTTTTAATGTAGAGTCTTCCCCCTCTTTATATATTGAAGTTCGATCGTTTAGTTGATTTACATTGGTATTCGATTGGTGATTGTTGTTAGTGCAATCACCCTTGTTTTACTCACCGGAGCTCAAACACTTTTGTCTCCCACTGTAAAGCATCTCTTGCGTTCACGATTCATTCCAATTTTCACCGGTGCTCCGGTCAACACGCGCTGAAATAAGCTTGTGTTTGGTGTGAATGGACCCGACATCTGTTGTCAACGTANGTTCACGATTCATTCCATTTTTCACCGGTGCTCCGGTCAAAACGCGCTGAAATATGCTTGTTTTTGGTGTGAATGGACCCGACATCTGTTGTCCACGTAAACGTCCCATTTCTCGGGGTGAACACAAGTAAATGAAGGTGTTGAATGAACGTGGACATGCATCCTTATGTGCTATAGATAAGAGGATCAGATCCTTTCCAGTAATATATAATGCAATTCCATTAGTAATAATTAATAAAATAGGTAAGAGAGGAAAATGAGTTTCTTGTATAATTCTTTTGCCACTAACTCCACCTCCCAAAATCTAAATCTAACGGACAAATTAGATAAGTGATTTTCTTTGTTAAAATTAATTTGTGAAAATCCTATAGTTGGTATTGCAAATAATAGATTATTATTGATGACTATTTATTCTTATCAACAAATCTGTATTTTGATTAGTCTGTAATTTTCATTGAATCTTTTTATTTATATCATGATTATGTTATAAGAAATATTTCTCTTCGAGGTGATGACATACCTTTATTTTATAATACTATATCAGTGTGATTCTCTATTTTTTCTTTTTCAATCAAATCATGGTACAAATCAAATAATTTTCTCGTACTGTGGTGTTTCCACCATTTACCAAAAGAAGTGAATTCCAATTCTACTAACACAGGTATCATTTATTTTATTTATTGTGCGCGCTCCTCTCTCTTAAAGCCCTTGTTTGCCTCTTGTTGGAGGAGAGATATTTGATGATTTGAAAAATATTTGCTAATATGGAAGAAAATATTATGGCATGATTTGAAGAATATTGTTTGATGATAATTGGAATGTTTTCATAATTTGTTATATT